TATAAAATTGGAAGAGGGCGTCAGACGAAATAAACAAAGGAGGACGTGAAGTTGTCCGATTAAGTTGGTATATGCATGAATAGCTGAGGTAGTGTACGTTCAGAGATAATAAGCAGAAGATAGGAGGCTCGTCAGAAAAAGTCGAGTTGTACTCATGAATCTTCGAGCTGGTGACATCAACCCCTCGTCAGACGAAATAAACAGAGGAGGAAGTGAAATTGTCAGACTAGATTGGTTGGCGCGACAGGACAGCCGCTGACAGGCAAGCAACTAACGTGCAGACTCATATAGATGTATATATGTCAGGGGGTGGGCGTCCTTTTACCGTAATTAATATGTCTGGTCGCAAACGACAGAACAACGAGCCCATAGTTCGATAGTTAGAGTATTGGACGAATGATCGAAAAGGGTGTAGGTCCGAGCCTCAGGTACCCCGAAATTGGACTTAGGTAAGGTTGGTCGACGGCTGCTAATAAGCCAGAGATTATAATCTTAGTTTTCCTCTGAAAGTGTACATATTCAATGAAAATCTCTTCAGTGATCGGGTAATTGGGCCCGCTAGTCTAGTTGTGATTTGAAGCTCAATGTAGAATCCTCGCATACAGTTATAAAGCGGCTGGATGCATGTACAGAAGGAAAATACCGAGACATGCAAGTGAGCGACTTATTAGCCGTCTCAGCCGGCCGTGCCCAACCTCAGGTTTGGGGGGCTCGAACCCGTGTTCTTTGGTCATCGAGCGTTATAAAGCCGGGTTATCTGACACTGAGGTAGGGCCCTCTGCCTTGTCGGCTATAGTAACTGTGATGGAAGTGCGTTCTTAGGCCGGCCGGCGACGGCCAGTAGAGACAAAACTGGCCATTCCATTCCCCCATTGTCTTCTTTAGGACTTCTCCTTCTACATGAGTGCTTATCGTTACGCGGCCACCGCGAGAGCACCAGATGGAGCCATAAAGCACAAAAGGACAGCATTCATCGTAACCCTATCGGTCAACGCACATATACCACAGTAAATGGATATACAGTAGGTGGGCTAACTCATGAAATGTCAATCGAAATTTCGAAATGCGTTCTCGTTTCGAAAAGATTAATTTAGTATGATTGTAAAACTAATCACCATCCAGCATAAGTCTATAATGATCCAGTTACCTCAGGGTGCCTTCTTTCGAACAAACTTATTTCTGACTGTATGCATGGACTACATTCTACCAAAATCACTACATAAAAAGCATGCAATTTTCAAATTGATTTTCGATGCCCTTAAGAGTTCAATTATATTTCATGAAAAAAACATCAATATATTAATTATTTTTATTTGTTCGGTGGAAAATAACTTCTTTCAATTTTATACTCGAAGGAAGAGTATAATTTGGTTTCGATAAAGTTTCTAATTGTGAGATTTTTTAATACCATAAAATGGCCGTTAATAAAACTTCATGTATCTGCATTCACCAATGTGGCTTGTAAAGTTAACAATATCGCTCAAATCCACTGCTTAATTTTATGAATTCCATATGGTCTCCTTTTGATACCGTAGAGAAATATATGGTTTTCCGTACACGGAAAATATACGGTTTGTAGTTTTTAGACCCTGAATGCGAGTATAACATTAGGTCGGGTTCAAAATTATTCGGAAATAAGAAAACCTTTTTAAAACCGAATTATACTCTTCTTTCGATTATAAAATTGGAGGAAGACGTGATTTTCTAACAAATAAGTAAAATAATGAATATTTTAATGCATTTTTTCCATGAAATATAATTAAATTTTCAAGGGCATCGAAAATCAATGAGAAAATTGCATGTTACTTAAGTAGTCATTTTTTGCAGACTATAGTTCTTGCATGCAGTCGGAAATAAGTTCAGTTAAAAGCCGATACCCTGCAGTAACTGGATTATTATAGAATTATGCTGCCTGACGGTTAGTCTTACAACTTTCGAAACGAGAGCGCATTTCGAAATTTCAGTTAACATTTCATGAGTTAGCCCACCTACTGTAATGCAGTTCCTCACTATATCGCGCTCCGCCTTTCACGGCCGCATTCCACTACGGCCTTCGCGGGCAAACATATCCACCTTGCATCACGGACTTGTTCGCTAGTTCACGGATTTCGGCAGTCAATGCACCCTTTTTACTTCTGGTTCATGCTTTCTCCGTCTATTTGACCAGTTGATTTCAGCGAAGCTTACCTAATATCTATTTAAATATAAAGGTTTATGCTATATACTTGTGAGAAATTTTCATAAGAATGTAAAAAGGTTTATATGGGTTTAAAATCTATTATTATAATTGCGAAAGCATATGTTTTTTCTCAGCAAATTTGCCCTCGTCGCCGGGGGGGGGGGTGGTTTTGAGACGCAATCCTCGCGATCAAGGGGGGGGGATTAACGCATACTCGTGTGACTGTTCTAAGCTGTTCTCTTATTGAACACTTTGCCATATAGCAACAGTTCGACCGTCGGTTTCGACGATGTCCACCATTTGCTCCCCAACAGGGTGAGATCAGGGATGGTGAACTGCGGGCGAATTAGTTTAACGTGATGGCAGACTTTCGAAGCACCTGCCACACTCTCTCCTCCTCCCCCACCCAGACCCGGTGTGATGATAGAGCCAAGAAGACCGGAGGTGAGAGAGGGCGCAGGTGTCTGGTACATTGAAAACCCGTACCTAGGGGTATCATCACACCACTTGGTCAACAACAAACACTTGGCCCGGAGTTTCAACAAAAAAAAATCCATGAATTTCTGGAAGCAGTGCACTCCGGTGAGGCATACATCAACCGGCACATCAATTTAGATGCCATGTATAATTTTACCACGGACTACTGGAAGTAAGCGCGGCCAGTGCTGATGGGAGGACAAAATACGATTGACTCACATTGGCGCAGACTTCGGTCAACCACAAAATAGTTTGTTAAAAATGGCTAAATAGTTAACTGCTTCTGTACCTGGCCCATAAGTCCGATGACGAGCTGGGAACCAGTCTCGAAAATTTACGCAGTATAGGTTATTTATTCTTAAAAAATCTTGCTTATTTCTACTCATAGATATATATGCAGAATTATATTACCGACAAAGACAAGGGAGACTGGAATGGCCATTTCTGGCTTATTAGCCGTCGTCAACCAGCCATACCCAAGCCCCAAGTGTGGAACACCCGAGCCTCGAACTCGCGACCTGTTGGTTTAGAAGTCAACGCCTCTACTGACCGGGCTGGCTGACCACGGCTAATAAGCCAGAAATGGCCATTCCAGTCTCCCTAGTCTTTGTCGGTAATATCATTCTGCCTATATATCATGCGCCGCTGCGCGGCTGCTGGTTGGGCTCGAGAGAGAGCCCTTACGGCACAACGGAACGAGTGAGTTCCGTATGAACGATCGGTGAGCGCCCCCTACCATAGATATATATGTATGAATAGCTGAGGTAGTATGCAGTCCGAGATAATATGAAGAAGATAGACGGCTCGTCAGAAAAAGTCGATTTGTACTCCTGAATTTTCGAGCTGGTGACATCAACCCCTCGTCAGACGAAATAAACAGAGGAGGAAGTGAAACTGTCAGGTTAGATTGGTTGACTCAACAAAGCAGCTACTGACAGGCAAGCGACTAGTGTATGAAAGGGATGGACACATATACATGTATATATGTCAGGGAGTGGGCGCCCTTTTATAATAATTAATATGTCCGATCGCAAACGACAGAATAACGAACCCATGGTTCGATAGTCACTTATTAAATACTTTGTCATATAGCGACAGTTCGGCCGTCGGTTTCGACGATGTCCACCATTTGCTCCCCAACAGGGTGAAATGCGGGCGAATTAGTTTACAGTGATGGTAGACTCTCGAAGCACCTGCTACACTCTCTCCTCCTCCCCACCCGGACCCGGCGTGATGATAGAGTCAAGAAGACCGGAGGTGGGAGAGGACACAGGTGTCTGGCACGTCGAAAACCCGTACCTAGGGGTAGCATCACACCCCCTGGTCAAAAACAAACACTTGGTCAGAATTTTCAACGACAAAGAGGGGCTACAGGGATCCCAATTGGCGCGGCGGGAGCCTGCGACACGGCCTGCCACCACACTCCGAATGTTTGATCTTGTTATGGGTGCGCATTCCCGATAACGTCTGCGGGACTCAGATCTAGCCCTCGTACTAGTCGAGCGCAACTACCGCGTGGTCCATTTTATGAACATTTTGTCATATAAATATGCAGTGACCATTTCCAGTTGAGGAAAAGGCCATGAATTTTACGACCTCCTTAATTCAGCACGCTTTGTCGTCCATACTTTGCACAGACTGTCAATATGGAAAATTTTTTGATCAGTCCTAGGAGAGAAAGCACACCAGACCGGAGGGATCGACGTCGCAGACATTAGGTCAGGGTAAAGAAGCAAGGACTAACGAAGCGTCTGACCATTGTAGGTTGCAAAGACAAGAAAGCGCGTGCTATGCCAGGTTCACCGAACCGTGGCTCTCGTAGCCTGGTAAGCGCTGGCTGTTCCCTGACACCTAGTTCACTGCCTGGAGATGCGCTTGCGCTCCCGCTGGGTATACAGCTGGGGGGCATGTATGCCCAGTCATAATCCTTGTCGTCCTGACCCCCTGTTGGGGTGTTGTTGTTGGTGGTGGTGAAAAATCCTGGTGAAATGTACGTTGTGGATCGGGGGTTGTGATGGTACGCCTAGATGCTGGTCCGGCTGTGCCAGCCACTTGCGCCCTCCCCCGCCTCCGGTCTTCTTGACTCTGTCTTGACACTGGGCCCACGTGGGGGAGGAGAGAGTGCGGTAGATGCTGCGCAAGTGTGCCATAAAATAATTCACGCGCAAGTCACTGTGTCTACCGCGTCTTGCTGTGTAGCACACACTAAACATCGTCGGAATAGACGGCCGAACTGTCTTCATGTCGGTTGTGCCACCGGCAAACTGGGAAGACCTCACCCGGGACCGACCTACGTGGAGGAGAACAGTGAACACAGGTGCAGCAATCTTCGAAGCCAACCGCATCACCGCCGCCAACGCCCATTCGCCTCCAACGTGTCCACGATTTCAAAGGACATTCCAGGTTGGCTGATAAGGAGGGGGAGGAGGAGCAAGCCAAAAGCAATTAACCAGACCTCCCCATCATCATCATCATCATCATCATCATCATCATCATCATCATCATCATCATCATCATCATCATCATCATCATCATCATCATCATCATCATCATCATCATCATCATCATCAGCAGCAGCAGCAGCAGCAACAGCAGCAGCAGCAGCAGGACCATTCACCGTCTCCACGTCTGCGCTATGGCATATACCATGCCCATCAACACTACACACAATCCTGACACTCTAACAAACACCAACACCATCACCACCGTCGACACCAATGGTGAGGACCTAGTGTATACATGTCCGCATTGCAATCACACCTTCACCTCACGCATCGGCCTGATCGGTCACTTGCGAATTCATCGTACAGAGACAGGCAAACCAGTGCCTGGAGCACCAACCTTCACTCGCAGAATTCGCCACCACTGTCCACATTATACTCACACATTCATTCACCCATATGCACGTCCATGGGTAGTGCACTCAGTCGATGATTGTTTGGTCAGCCAACCTTGAAGGGTGACGGTCCAGGCTAAATGCAGGACCACGTGTCGCCCTTCTACGTCAAAAGGCCAGTATCAACAAACCATGACCCTCGCAGCCTGGTATGTTCTGGCGGTTCCCTGACACCTGGTTCCATGCCGGTAGATGCACTTGCGTTCCCTCTGGGTATACAAGTGATGGGCATGGCTGCTCAGTCATAATCCTCGTCCTTCTGACCCCCTGTTGGGGTGTTGTTGTTGGTGGTGGTGAAAAATCCTGACCAAATGTACGTTGTGGATCGGGGGTTATGATGGCACGCATAGGTGCGGGTCCGGCCGTGCCAGCAACTTGCGCCCTCCTCCGCCTCCGGTCTTCTTGACTCTGTCTTGACACTGGGCCCACATGTGGGAGGAGAGAGGGCGGTAGATGCTGCGCAAGTGTGCTACAAAATAATTCACGCGCAAGTCACCGTGCCTGCTGCACCTTGCTGAGTAGCACACGGTGAACACCATCGGGCACCGTCGAACTGCTGACGCCACGGCACGATGATGTCGATGGTAGAACAGACCATGATGCGATAAGACTAATAATACGTACGCTCGCATTTGAAGATAACAAGACAGTGACTGCAGGCATAAGCAACTAACCCACACATAAACTCAGGACTGAGGTGGGAAGGTTAAAACAAAAATCAACGCACTGTGGCCAGGATATTATGTCCCATAGATGGAATTTGGAATGCCTCACCAACCCCTGACCTCTGATGTGGAAGTATTAGGTGACTGCTATTTCCAACTGGACGACCTTTATGGAAATTTTTAAACTTAAACTTGAGACGCTCTTATAGCAGACGAGGTTCTGGTCGCGTTCAACGTTCGACCGGCGAACCCATCATCATGCTTATCTTCCGGCTGTGACCTTACTCCTCAAATAATCCGCAGTCTAGCTTTATCTCCTTCCTCCACCTAATTGTTTTTACGAAGAATAGGTTTTGAAGACTACTTAGGCTGCGAAAGCGCCCACTGTTCTAACTATATAGGCTCCGTTTCTCAACAAATAAAATTAATTAGTGTTTTTCGGAATATTTGACCAATGCATTAGACTCAATTTTCCAAAACTCGGTGGCCTCGGTAGGATTTGAACCTACGAGAGCAAGGTCGCGGCTTGATTACAGCCAATGCTCTAACCCCTGAGCTACGAGGTCCCAAATATGAGAAAACTCACTGCTCCCGGGGGTCTCATAGCTCAAGTGGTTAGAGCATTGGCTATACTCAAACCACGCCCTTGCTGTCATAGGTTCAAATCCTACCGAGGTCACCGAGTTGTGGAACATTAGGTCAAATGAATTATTCAAATCTGTCGAAAACACCAATTAATTAATCGAGTCTGGAGGTCATCAGGTGGATACCAGATTGACTGATTAGGAAATCCTGTTTGGACAGTCACCTTACTGGATCAGCCTTTGCGGATTCCATACGTTGCAGTTGGATGGGCGGGTAATTCGACACCTATGTTATTAAACTCACGGCTCTCGATGGGGTCGCATAGCTCAGGTGGTTTTATCGTTGGCTGTACTCAAGTCATGCCCTTGCTGTCATGGTTTCGAATCCCACTGAAGCCGTCAATTTTTTCACAATTTGATCAAATGGATTATTTTTAGACAAAATGGTTTATTTGGGGTAGGAATTAGGTTCGCCGATCGGGGTGTGATTTACTTGTCTCGTTGCGCCTTGGAACTCAATGTAGAACCATCGTAGGCAGTCGCATAGTGCAGAAATGAGAATCGACAACGCTAAGGGAGACGGGAATGACCATTTCTGTTTCAATGCCAGACAGGAATACTTAACCTCATGTTTGACTGACCCGGCGTTCGAACCCAGTTTAGGCTATTTCGAGATCCACGACTTACAGTGAAGTGAAGGAAACCTGGACTAAAACAGGCACTTCATTGTTTTTTTCAAAACTAACGCGGCAGTTTACACAACTCATTGTAGAAAGCTGAGCCTCTTGTTGCATTCACTAACCAAGGCGATATATGCCCTGGTAACACTCACTGATTTCGTTAACGTACAACGCCTCTCTAAATGCAATCATTATTTTCACGGCTTGTACTTTATAATGTTCTTTTGAGTGAGAAAGAACATTCCTCCAAATGATTTTGCTCGTATTTGTAGTTTTGCAGAAAAACGTTTAAGAGGACATGACTGAACCACTGTGTTATGGAATTATAGGCTCCTCCTCAGGCAAAAAATCTCATCGGCAGGGCTGAAAAATGTGAAGAAGTCGGCTGCTGGTCAACATATTTATTCGCAATTCCGATGGGGATGCTCGCGTTAACGGATTTGACGTGCAGGCTCCAGAAACGTAGGGGTTAAACACGACTCGTCATAATTTCCGACTGACTTCATTCACACTACAGCCTGATCTACCAAATTCCTGTTGAACATGCTAAATGCTCCACAAGTTGGCATGTCTGCCGTCACTTGGTCACTCATTTCCCCTGTTAAAAGCCTTGAAGAGCAGATTCCTCCACCTCCCACCCAGCCCTCTAAACCTACTGTCTGTGTAACTAACCTCCTAATGTCGGGCATGAAACCATTTGTTAGTGGGGATGGCACTCTGTCCTGACCTCGACTACTGGTCCTTTGTTACGCGTTATCGCTTTGCCTAATCGCGGCTTGCATGACCTTGCTATCGGGCTAGCTTTGTCCACATTGAGCACGAAGTAGTACTCTACCTGGGCGGAAGCTAGACCGGAACTCCATTGAAAACGGAGCCCCCTTCAGTCCGGTAAACTCCACTCTCATCTGTCTGTGGCCATTCCTGTTCGCATGAGCTCGTTGCTCAGTTGTTGTCTTCTGGCTCACATTTGAATCGCGTGTTTCTCAGACATCGGTTGGAGGGAACATGGCCGGCCGAGGAGGCCAAGCAAGCCAGAAACTGGCGCTACAGTCTCCTCGGCCAACACTTCCTCATTACTACCTGTTGTTTTCCTGCAATCGTCTGTATGGGCCCCAGACCGGCGCTGTAAGGCGATACAGAATGGCCGAAATTATGGTGAATCTTTGGGCACCGCTGTCATATGGTTTTAATGTTCCGCCGCCCGATCTGCTTAGATATGCCACCAACGAGTCATTCATCCAGTCAAATTCCTTCCAGCAAACCCCCGTTGGGTTGAGGGAGCTAGAGGCCACTAACCGGAGTGAGAGGTTGGTGTTCAGCACATTTATGGTATGGGACTAATTATGAATAAGAAGTAAGTAGATAGCTGTTTTCCCCCTGCCTGTTAATCGTCCTTGCACCCAGGGGAGGCGGATTACTCCAGACTCCTACATTACCGGTCCGTTCAGTACTCGCAGTGCGTAAATGGGGCGCCCAGCCAGAGGCAAATTAGCATAGCAGGCGGTTCAGGGAGAAGGGGACAATGTGGCCAGTCAGCAAATTATGCAACCCCTCCGACCCCCAGGCTCGGTTATGCGTTGGGTTGGTCCGTCAAAGGGGACTCGTTGGTCGCTCACAGCCGTATTAGCATACACTGCCCAGTTTTCATCGGTCTTCCTATAGTCTACACTGCTTATACAGTGCTCTCCCGTTATGCACATGATCGCGGA